CAAAGAAAATACCGTATGTAGAAACATCCACACCCACACATACCCGTACATGTACTAGCCTTTCCTGTAATTACAGTCATTTGTCAAGAGCGCACCTTGATTTATGGTCAAATTAAAAATACACCGGAAAAGAAGCTGCTAGTCCGGCTCCAGAAGGTGATTAATGCTACGCCATTACAGGCGCGAGAGTGGCGTGATCCAGATATGCACCTTCTCACAGAGAGACGAGCAGGTGATAACATGACTTCACTCTGCAGGTGTAGAGTATGTGGCTGCACTGGGGTGGCTCTGGTTCGGTGGTGGATTTAGGGCTGTGCACGGCAGGTTATGAATCCAAATTTATAGTTAAGTAGAGCAACAACGTGTGGGACACAGCTGCTTTCACTCAGCATGAAGCTGGACTGTTTATAGTTTTGCTTTATCTCAAGGAATCTCCTCTTTTTTAATTGCCTCTCTGCTTTAGTTTAAGCAAATGCCACAAGACAAAAACGGTCTTCTTGGCTTCGGGCCAGAAAAGTGACAGTGACATTTTGCTGAGAAACCTCAATAAAGACATAAAATAAGGCAATAAAACAGGCTCTTATTATTCTTACTTGTAAATGTAATGCTTGTTTTAGGCTATTCTTCTTTTTATTTACTGAGGAGCGTCTGATGGTTGTCTGTCTGAAGCATCATAGAAATAATGATGTGCTCTGTGACATTATAAGGCCTGAAGGGACGTGCCAGGTGCAAGGTGTTCCACACGGTGCCGTGCTGAAGCAAATGCACCAGCAATCTCCTGCATGAGAATACATTTGAATGATGTGAAGCCGAGGATGAAAGCAATCTTTAAATTTGCAAATAAATCACACAAGCTATCTTTCATATGCTGCATGATGGAGCATTTGATTAAAAAAAACAAGTGTGCATATGTTTTTGTGCACGTGGTGTTTGAGTTGTAACAAATTCCCTGAGCAGCATTATTGTGTGTTTCTGAGCGCAGCAAATTTTATCGCCCAAACTAAATAAGAGCAGGTCTGTGTGGGACAGGAGCAAAAAATAAAACAGATGAGAGAGCTGTTCCATTTGTCCAGTTTATCTAAAACCACTAGGCTATATCAGAATTCAAGTACCTTTAAATTGCCTCGATGATAAAGAAGGAGGGGAACACGGGACGAGAGACCAGGATTGTGCCAGCGAGGTCTTCGGAGCTCAATGCAGTTAATATGCCTCAGGCCTCGTGCCAGCCAGAGAGCTCCGCATCCACAGACTGCTGCCACACATGGAGTAGGCCGTCTCCTCCAGGTAATCTTTTTTAAGTCAAGTCTTAAGGAATGCTTAATTAAAAAAAATCTGAAAGATGCTATAGAAAAGGCTGAAGGCTGGCATGTTTTTAGGAGTAATCATGTTTTGTGGTGGGACTGCAGAATGCCTCGCAGAGCCTTGGTCTTCCTCTGCAGGAAACAGATAAGGTAGCTGTCCTGGTTCCTTCTCCACATTTCACTGGCTGTCGGCGTGTTGTGCCCTATAGCTTCCCAGTGCACCATAAAATCAAAACTGTATTTTCACCTAAGGTTTGCATAAATTAACAGAACGTAATGTCTTTTTACGATGGCCTCTCGGAGGAGGCGCACTCCCAGCCATAAACATTCATGAAGAAGTCCAGTTTCTCGCGCCGTAACAGCATTACTGATATTATGAAGTATTATTATTTCTGACAGCCTGCCAGGTTGGTGACAGCAAACTGCATCAACTTTACTGCCACCTCTGAGAGGACAGCAGTGAGGCGAGAAACAAACAGCTTGCAAAACTAAGGTGAGCTATAACACCGTCCTGGAATCAATACATCTCATTGCTGTATTTCTCTGCATCGTGGCAGAACCCACTGAGCGAAAGAACTATTAAAGAAACTTTTCTGAACTGAGAACCTAAATCATCTCTCAGTAAATGTCATCGGCGGCTTTTCTGGCTAATGCCTCTCAACCCTGTGGAGATGCATGCTTGGTTTTTGGAACATGAAAAAGAAATAAAGCACTTATTTTCTTTTTTTTGGTGGAAAAGTATTAAAGGTAAAGCCCCATATTGAAATCTCTGCTCGCTTCTTTTAGACAGCAGGTTGTTTCCTAATAAGACTGGTTGCTGCTACAGTGAAACAGAACAGCCACAAAGAATCCGTTGAGCACAGTTATTTCAGTAATTGAAGTCAGTATTTCATAATATGTATGATTCAGCAGAAATCTCTCACCATTGGGTCAAGATCTCATATACACCTGAATAAACTCCAATTTTCAGGCTTTTCTATGAAGCCTTTTATCTAAAATTAATATCGTTAAGGTTTTCAGATGGAGCTGCAGGCTGAGTTTAACTGTGGCAACTCTTCAATCAAGCAATGCAAATGTAAGGATTTTATTGTAAGCCTTCTGTTACCAAGTGAGAGTAGATATCAGGATGAAAGATGCTTTCGTGAGGAAACGTTGCCATTTTCAGACTTAAAATTTAAAGTTGATCAATCGTTAGTAGTGACAGAGATGGAGCGGAACATTTCTCCTGAAGACCATGTATCTAACATGTGCAGCGAATCATCATAAAAGTGTGCATTGGTTCATAAATTTAGATTCTGAAATTATTAGACTTCAGGTCATGAGGTGAGAGAATGGGAGACATGTTCTCCTCTTGCATTCGCGATCAACCCTTTTTCCATTTCCTCCTATTTGTACATGCATCAATTTTTCATGCAGGCGATGACCAGCTGAGGAAGAGGAGGAGGAGGAGGGCACCAAGGACAGACTGAAAGATAAGAAGCAAAAGCGAGAGTCGGACAGAGGATTTGTACAACTGGAGCGTAATGAACAGTGATAATGCCAAGAGCGGGAAAGACGGACAAAGAGCGAATGTTTGCACGCCGCATGTGTGCATGTGTTTGTTTCTAAGATATGGCCATTAGCTAAGATGGATGTCCTTGAACCCGGGTCTGTGCCAACAGGTATCTCTCGCTAACAGACCGCCCCCTCCACTGGTAATTACACAGAGAGGTCTACAGCAGGTGGCACAGGGCTGAACAGAATTTACATAAATCTGCATGTGTCACTGGGCCTGGCTGCAGCCTCGAGCACTCTGCATGAATCGTGGTAACCCTCAGTCGGCAATTTGTTCAGATTTAACCAACTGGAAAGTGGGAAGGTAAAATCTGTGATTCCTCTGAAATCCATGTATGTTATTACTGCACAGACTGCAAACTCTACACAAAAACACACACTGCCACGCACACATACGGTTATTACACATTTATCACTAATGTACTTGCATCTAATAAATCCACTCTGAGAAGTCACTGACATCCAAATAATACATTTTTCAAGCTGAACATGCATCCGTCTAAATGTTTGCAATGATTTCATTCTTCCTAAATCCACTCTAAGCATCCACATCCATGATTTTGTCCATAAAGCGGTGGGACCCCCCTGGGTGAGAGGTGTTTCTGCTGACAGGACCATATTCAAGGTAATGGAACCACTCTGTCGTCCCAGAGCAGAGCACTAAAGCAGAACTGACTTCTGTCTCCCACTACATGCACCACTGAACCTCTAGATGACAAAATGCCTCACTGGCTGACCAAATCAAACACGATAAAAGTTTTTTTTTAAATGACTGCAGGAGAAAACGCCTAGATCTGTCATATTTTGCCACCCAGGTAGGAAAGTATGTATTTTGAAGGGGAGAATATGCCAGTCAGAGGAGTGGCACTTAAAGAATGTTTGTACTGAGTAAACTGTTAAAGTGCTGCATGACACTGCAGCTGGAAAATACGTAAATGTGCACGTCACTGAAGCAGGTAATGACATTTTAGCTATAAAGTGTAGATGGGGGATTAGAAATAAATGATCAGGTTGTTAAATAATAACGGTTCTGCAATAAATGACAGACTCCATTAATAAACTGAATCAGTCCCATTTGAATTTACATATTTCCTTTGTGTTTCATCATATTGTGACAAATAAAATAACACAAGTGAATGAATTATAAAGCAAATGAATGAAAAGCACCGGTAGTAGCCTCCAGCAGCTAACTGCACCTTGTCGATGTCCGTGGAGAGACTCACAACCCCAGAGGAGCCGACTGCGGGCCAGCATACATTATTACTGATCTCTGTGGAGCCTCAGTGGAGCTGTGCAGCCCAGCGCTGCCTCAGGATCCCAGAGGTGCTGGACTGGACCAAAAAGTTGTGGCAGCAATATAGACTTGAGATTGGACTTCAGTGGTGGAAGTTTTGCAGTGCAGGAGTCTTTGGAGGAATCTGATTGGCCACTGCCATGACAAAAGGGTGATAAGGCTGCCTCACTACTGGCTCAGAGATAGAAGTGAGCCTCCATGACAACGACTCTTCGGCTGTGAAACCCGCCACCTGCTTCTCGAAGCTTTAATGTTTCTATTATAAACCTGCAGAGATCAAACATGCAGTTCTGCATAAAAGGGAAAACATGACTCAGAGGCTGTTAAGGCTTGAGTTCTGCAGAAGGGGTATGTAGAATCAGGCATGGTAACTGGTGCACTGGGAGTGAAAGGCTCCAGCGTAACAGTCGCAAGGCAAACTGAGCAGCCCAAAGCTGTTTAAGGAGGAACTAAAGAGAAAAACACTGTAAATATCAACCAATCGACGAGAAATATTCATCTGCAGACACTAATTATTTTGTAATTGTGATGCAAAGAAGCAACAAGTTCTTTCTCCTGTATAATTATATGAATTCTACTGAATGTGAAGAACCAAACAGCCCAGACAAACACATACAGACACTCCATCACCATGACCTAGGGAGTCAGACTCAGCTGTGTTCAGGTCCCTGGGACGTGCCAGACAGACTGAGAGCTGATGTGTTTGTGTGTTTTCTGTGTCTGTACACCCACAGACACGTTTGTGTTGTTTAATGACAAACAGAGTGAACTTCAAAGCAAAGCAGAAAAAGTTGGAAAGGAAATGAATCAGGAAGCTCCGAGTCGGTGTGTGTTAGTCCTCTTTCACTGACCTTGTATGAGCGGCTGGCCTTTCCGGAAAGGTCCGCTGAACGCCACCTGGTATTGTTTGACCTGGAAGCCAGGTACACAGCCCTCATGGCCTCCATCCTTTTGGCCCCCCACAGGAGCAACCTGCAACGCAGACAACAAAAGGTGAGGTCAGAACAACACACATGAGCACATTGTTCCTGTGCAGATAAACCTGACAGGCAGGGAGAGAGAGAAAACTGAATAAAATGGTTCTCCCCAAAAAAAGAAAAACCTAATCCTCATTCATCCTAAATAATCAACATCAGGCCATCGTAGACACACACTCCTGCAGTGTAGAAACATTCTCTGTACCTCTATAATCATGAAACCTGATAGGGATACACCTGCAGTCCACACTACTCCGGAGATTTAGAGCTGCTAAACCTGAGAAGTTTTGGAAACGCTGCTGGACCGGTTTTAGTTTGAAAACATGTTTTATTTTATTGTTTTTACGAAGGAACACAGATGCATAGGATATGCATACAGGACATTGTAAACATATAATCATTTAGATTTTATGTTTACCCAGTTGTCCCCATTAAATTAGGAACAGTCTTCAAATCTGAAGCAAAAGAACTGCATGTTAACCATTTATTAAGAGTTAAACATTGACCCCATGGAAAATAGGACCTGAATCCACAACGTTCTGTCTTAGGTCATATTGAATATTTTCACCAAGTTTCATGTAGATTTTTGCTAAATCCTGTTAACAAACCAACAAAACAAAAAAAAATAATCTCCTTTGCGGAGGTAAAATGAACAACTAATCAATATGAATCATCTAGTTTCACATGCAAGTCATTTTTCCTTGCTCCTTTTACACTTCACTGTGATATCATTACTTACAGATAATTCTACAATTATGAACAACACTTGTCTCAAAGTCAAGAGAAGCGCTAGAACTAAATGGTAATTAGCATCCAGTGAATTTGGGAGAATCAGACCAACACTGGTGTTTATGCTTTAATTGAAGGTTGGATTAAAAAATTAGACAAAATAACAATGTGTTGAACAGTATCTCATTTGCTCTATTCAAACTCTGAAGGTCAGGACGCTGTTTGACTGTTATTTAGAATTTTAAAAATCTAATTAAAACAGACTCAAAAACTGCAGAGGCCTTTCATTGAACCATTAACTCTATAAATCACACTGACTTCATTTAAAAACTGCGAGAAGTAAAAGGACTTTTACCTCCTTTTTGCAAAAGGGAAAAAACAAGGGTTGACATCATTCCCATGGAAACAGGCGGTAAAGTGCTGAGTCTGCACTGATTCTCAGTGAGGTACTGAATGTAGTCTAGTTAAGGACAGATGCAGAGCAAACAACAAAAATAACTATTTGGGTTGAGTGTAGGTGTGTGATGTATTAATTCAAAGAGCAGCTTTCAACTGCAGTGATTGTATTTATCGTTTCACAATTTCAGCTGTGACCCAGTTACAACTGCGGCTGAGTTTGTCTGTCGTCTGTTATTATAAATAATATTGTGTAGAATTTATTTTTTAGCTCGTGTGGTTTTGTTGTGACAAAAAAAATAATTTCAAATTCAGGAGAAAAACGATTTATTGAAGAATTAACTCTGGTTGTTTCAGTGTGAGTTCAGTGAAGATTTATTTCTCCCAAATCTGAAGTTCTAGGTTGAACTTGTAGACGACAGTGAGGATCGCTGCGTGCACTGTGGTGAATTCTCAAGACAATCCACAAGACATTGCATTTTGTTCCGATGTAAATTTGCGTATCGTCTGTCAGGCTGAGTTCAGGTCAGAAATATTTTGTGTTGATTCCAGAATAAACTGCTCCAGGAGGGAGCAGAGAAAGAGAGAGAGAGAGAGAGAGATGCCTGTTTCCGATTTTTCATGAGCTGGCTCACGGTAGTTGGACATGTTGAATGATGTCATGTCGTTCACGATGACATGTCACAGCGTCAGTTCTGTTGACGATGAGGCAAACCTATAACTACCAGGTAATACTGTTTCCATAACCATTTCCATGGTAACCAACATCCAAATCAGTATTTATAGCGTAACATTTTATAGTATAGCATAACACATAATAAAGTATTATTTGACATTATCCTTGAACACTAGTTATAACTAGTTATGCTTTGTAATAGTTTACAATAGATGATCTCAAGAAAGCGTTTTTTTATAAAACGTCGAGTGCCACAGAAGCCAAAGGAAACACCTGATCTCCATTTCACAATTCTATAACACGTTTTTTATTATATTATATTATATTTATCGCAACAGCTCAATCAATGTACGATTAAACAAAGACTTACAGACTCGCTACAGATACTGCAGCTCAGAGAACTGAGGATTCAGCAAACCCAAATGATTTTCTGGAAACATCACCTTCCTGATAGTTTGCAGGTCAGCTCTGCATTGTGTGCTGAGAACGGTTTAGTGAAGCACTGTAAAGATGAAAGGAGGAGAGGAGGTGAGGATCCATTAATTGATCCACATTGTAGAGGTTTCCATATAAGGTTAACACGGTTTCAATAGGGTATAGAGGGGGGAGGTGATAGAACCAAGATTTTATTCCACACTATCGGCCACAGATGTCTCATGAATGTGACGGTTTTATTTCTAAATGTTGCCTCTGGATGAAAAACACTGAGGATCCATTAAATATTAGTACTTCTGCTAAAACCCATGTGTCAATCTGGGAATTTGTTAATTGCACAGTAGGCGTAGTCACCAGAATATGTAAATATCATGTCATATGAAATATGTATCTACCAAACTCCAACCAGTGACATCCCATCGGCTCTTCTTCTCCTCTTCTAATAATTCCCCTGGAAATATCAAAAGTGATTTAGAGATCCCATGCATGACCTGCAAGGACAGTAATTCTTGTGTCAAACCCACGCAGGAAAAAGTGGTCAGTTTGGTTGAGTTTGTTATGTTTGTTGTTTCTTCACAGACCTCAGAGCCAAACTGGAACATTTCTCACAGTTTCATTCAGTGTTATTTATTTTCTTTCAGTATCTTGTGCAATATCAGTAATCCACTCTGCAACAATTCTTTAAGGCAAACTGACACTGTGGTACCTGCAGCTCTGCACTGGAAACAAGGCTCCGCTTTTCACCTTCTTAGCTATCAGCACAAACACTACAAAACATGCCTGCACCACCATCAGAATTTGATCTTATAGCAGCTGCTTGTTGGGCACTCAAACAGCAGAGTGTTTCTTTATCTAAGAACATTTGTCCTTACAACGTATCCAGTTTATCTGCATGTGTCTGGCTGGAATGACTCTTGAAATCAGAGCTGCACTGGGTTGTCTTTACCGTTTGTCGATCCCTGGAAATTACAGCATTGTGCCTGACACGCCTGACATTTCTCAACAGCAGCCATGACTGAAGTGAGTCTTGTGTGTTCTTATTTTCTGTTATTGCACAGAAAATGAGTTGCTGTCATGAGTATTGTGTTTGAGTTGCTTTCATGTATTTATGAATCGTCTTGCAGGTTCTACACAGCCCGGGGGCCAGCAGTTCCCCACACCTGATTCATAGCACGCTCATTCATTTTAGGAAAAACAAGTGAAGTGGATTCAAGACATTATTCAGTGAAAAAAATTACAGTGATACGGCACCAAGAAACAAAGTTTCAAAGAATCTTGTTATGATCAATGTACGAGTTAGAAGTACCAGTGTTTCTCATCCTGGGCTCAGATCTATCTCCTTTTTCGGGGAGATATTATTATGAGATATTATGCTCGGGCCTATTTGTGTCTATTGTGGCATTTTCAGTTCTGTTTAATACTATGAAACGTTTGGAGTGAAAACTAAAGTACATATTTAGCATGTTTCACTGGGTTTGGTGTGACAGTTACATCAGTTTAGTAAAAAGGCTTTCACACAGTAAGCTAGGCTGTCAGTGGAGATCTGTCTGCACGATCAACAAGGTTTTGGCAGATGCTCAGACATTCAGAGGTTATTACATGTAATGTCCCTGCAAAGTAATCACTGCACCCTGGGGACGTAGAGTGTTTCCCACTGGTGTCAAATGTTAATTCAGTTCTATCAGGAGGCTTCCTGACGACGTGGGATACAATGCTTGTCGGTCCATAAACTCAATCAGGTTGACTAAAGGACACAGGCCTGTCAGTGTAGCAAGGGTACATGGGACGCACATACATATGCAGGAACAGACATTACCATATACACACACACACACACACACACACACACACACACACATAAACGCACAATCAAACACACACAGGGGAGTGAAATGTGCACACAAGCATGAGGATACCTGCAACCCAAAGCACACTATAAGCACATCCCTCAGCAACATGAAGACCCATTTTAATGTCCATTAAGGGGAAATATTAGAGACCCAGTGACTCACAGTAGGGGAGTGAAGGCATTAAGGCAACACTGTGCTAATCACAATGTTGTTGGACAAGGAGGCTATTATTGTGTGCAACTTTCTACATCAGGAAACTATTTAAGAAGCCACAAGACATGTGAAGGTTATACCTTTCAAGCAAGCAGAAGGAATTCAGGCATTTTATCAACAATGTCCATCTTTTTACCATTCTCAAAAATCATTTTTTACACAAGAAGAATTAATTGAAAATGTAATCTCAAAGGATAAATGGACTTTTTGTCTATTAATTACTTTACAGACAGAGATCTGTATCAGGACTTTCTTCAGGCTCTTATTTTGCGTCAACGTGCATTCATATTTCACTGCACATGTTTTCCTTTCATGCTTCAACCATGTGTTACTCAAGTGAACAGATCTGATGAAATACAAACATTCTGATTAAGCTTGTTGGCTATTTTATATGTGGTGGGATTTAGAGATTAGTGTGCAATGAATATAAACTTCCACATCTCTTTCCAAAGTGAAGTTTAAGTAATAACTATAAATATCTGCAGCCACAGGACCTGGCTCAGAGTTGGATTTTTAAGACTCTCTGAACTGATTGTTAATCAAAACATATCCTTACATACCCATATACTGTGTGATGGCTGGAGTCAATATTTTGATTTAAATATTGAATATGTTTTGATTGATGTACTGAATTTGTGCCTGAGGCAATATACCAATTTTCTACAAATATGAGCTGTAATCTACGGGTTTTTGTAA